TGAGACACATTTAAGACCTAGGAATCTTAAAAATATAAACCACAAAAACATTCTAACCAAACAAAAACTTTCTTCCCACTAACATTTTATAGTTCTATGTATTAGGCAAACATATTTGAAGTCTTACTGCATGCTATTTTTTATATATTTCCTCAATCCTTACTATAAACTTAGGTGAAGAATATTGTTTTCTATATTAGAAAACTTATGTCCATCAAAGTAAAAATTAGTAAGGGAAGAGGCTCCAATCTCTCTATATAAAAGGCTAAGTGACCATCGCATCCGAAACAACCGAACAGACTGTGTGGGCCAACCATGCCCATAGGCGGTGGGAGGGAGTTGGAAGCAACTAGGCTGTCAGGGGGGGAAGTGAGAAGTGACCAGGCAGGCAGAGGGGGTTAATTAGGGACAACCAGGCTGGCGGGGGTGGAGGGGAAATTGGGGGCAACCATGACAGTAGAGGGGGAAATAAGGAGCGACCGGGTCAGTAGGGGGCAGTTAGAGGTGACCAGGCCAGTGGGGGGGCAGTTGGGGGCGACTGTGCTGGCAGAGGGGCAGTTGGGGTGACCAGGCCAGTGAGGGGGCAGTTAGGGGCGATCAGGTGGGCAGGCAGCTGAGCAGTTAATTATGGTTCCAGATTGTGAGTGGGATGTCCAATCCTGGGCCTAAACTGGCAGTTGGACATCCTCTGAGGGGTCCTGGATTGTAGAGGGTGAAGGCTGGGCTGAGGGGACCCCCCATGTAAGAATTTTGTGCACTGTGCCTCTAGTCTATAATAATAAAAGTGTAATATGCTAATAAGACGAGGTCCTTCTGGACGTCCTTCCAGACAAAGCCTGGACTATGAGGGTAGCCTGGGTCCTGGGTACCTGAGGGAAGCCAGTGCCAGCAGCTGGGAGAAGGAAGGTCTACTCTTGCACCAAGTTCATGCATCGGGCCTCTAGTATCATATAATTCTCTTCATGTTGAAGATTCTCTCAAGGCCTCAGTTTTACTTCACCCAGTGAAAGGACTCTACCCAATTCCACGTGATGATTCTTCATTATAATTGAACATTGTAATTCGGGAATCAAAGTGTGCCATATATTCAAACTAGATGATATCATTAGCTAAGAAACAGGATGTTCCAAGATATTTTGAAATAGTCTTGAAGTTGAGCAACTTTGAAAGCTGAAGCACAGGCAGGAAAGAAAAGCACACTGTTGATGACCGCAATGAGGAATCTCACTTGGAAGCTATTTCTGTGTCTCTAGACTGCCAGATCCCCCTTTTCCTTAAACACAAATCCATTTCTCCTGCCTTCTCCAGAGAACACAGAATGAAAAGTGAGCCTATTTTGTTAGAGCAAATGAAAGGACAGGAGCTAGCATTGTCAGGGGTGACAGCAGCTCTGGGGAACATTTATGCCTCTTTCTGTCTGGCTCTGTCTCAGTCTCCTTCTCTAGGTGTTTCCTCTCTTTCTTATAGTCTCTCTGTGGAGAGGTGTCCTGCTTTTTCTGTCTTCTTTGTAGCCTGATTCATAATTCCTCCCTCCTGCTTGCATGTGATCTTGGCTTCATGGTTCTTTTGGACTTGGCTAGTTCAAGGTTACATACATGTATAAATGGCAAACATTATATTACTCTAATTCCAAACCTATATTTCTTTCATATGTTATGCTGACAGTGTATTTTTACATTTCAAGAGTCAATATATTTTAAATGAATTAAGATGAGGAAAATAGTCTTCTATATTTATCTAGATATTCACCTTTTCTGTTATCGCTTACTTCATTCTTGAAGTTACAAGTAAACTCTGGTGCCATTACCCTTCAACCTAAAGAAATTCCTTTCACACATCTTTGTAGAGCAAATCTGCTGTGATAAATCCCATCTTCCTACTTGAGAAATGACTTTCTTTCACTTTCATCACTCAAAAGTGTTTTTTTAAAATATATTTTTATTGATTTTGTATAGAGAGGAAGGGAGAGAGATAGAGAGTTAGAAACATCGATGAGAGTCATCGATCAGCTGCCTCTTGCACACCCCCTACTGGGGATGTGCCCGCAACCAAGGTACATGCCCTTGACGGGAATCGAACCTGGGACCCTTCAGTCCCCAAGCCGACGCTCTATCCATTGAGCCAAACCGATCTCGGCTCAAAAGTGTTTTTATTAGAAGCAGACTTTTAGGTCTTTTCTTTGGGTTTCTTAAAGATGTCTTCTGGCTGTCACCTTTTCTCATGGGAAACTCTAAGTTCTTGGGACTGTTGGTCGATACACTTAATATTGGCATCCCCACCTCACCCACAGTTTGGCTGCTTTCAAGACTTTTTATTTGTCCATAGTTTTCAGTAATTCTCTGATGTGTCTGAGCTGGGTTTTTGAATTTATCCTCTTGGGAATTTGTTGTGTTTCTTGAACCTGTGAATTTATTTTTCACCAAATTTGGAAAGATTTAGGGATTCTTTTTTTAAATATTCTTTTAGCACTGACATTTTTTTGCGTGTGCTTTAGGGACTCCATGACACAAATATGAGATCATTTGATGTGGTCCCACAATTCTCTGAAACTGAAACTAGTCATTTTTATTTTCAATCTTTTTTATTTCTATTGTTCAGATTGGATAATTTCTATTGCTCATTCTTCAAGTTCACCTTCCTCTCTCATCTCCATTCAGCCATTCAGCTTGCATAATTAATATTTAATTACATGTATTGTATTTTTCAATTCTAAAACTTTTCATCGACTCTATCTGCTAAGAATTTCTACCTTTTTGTTCATTTTAATAATGTTCACTTTAGTTTGTAGAAAGTGGTTCTAATAGCTATTTTAAAGTCTGCCCACTAATTCACCTATCTGAAACTTTGGGTTGGCATCTGCTGATTGATTCTTCCTTGAGGATTGGTCAGATATTCCTGATTGTTAGTATAGTATATAAAGTAATTTTGGTTGCATCTTGGACTTTTGAAGATTACATTGTCAGACTAGGCATACTGTTAAAATTCTCTGGCAAATACTGATTTATTGTTTGAATAGGCAATCAACCTGCATGGCCTGCTCATTCTTTCTGATAACTATTTTCAATGTCAATTAAATTTTCAGTTATTTTTATGCTATATAGGTCAGGGGACATGCACCCCTCAGGGCTAGCTCCGGTGCTTGGGTGACTTTATCACCCAAGAATTGTAATTCAGTTTTTAAACTTTTGTTATACCTTTTTGGGCATTTTCTACATATGGTTAACTTGGGGTGTGAGCTCATTACTTGAGTAGGTTCAAACACAGACAGAGAGTTTCTCGTCTTAGTTCTCGTATGTCTGTGGGATTTTCCCTACATCCTCTGGCTTCTAGAACTCCCTTGCCCAGTTTTTTTGACAAGAAAACCTGGGCTTTTCAGAGTCTTGGTATCCTTTATTGTGGCACAGTTTCATGTAGTTAACCGCAATGCAAAGCAGGAGGGAAAAGAGAAAACACACTCCACGGACCCCCCACTTTTTGCACAATAGATGTGGAATTCTTCTATTTGAAGGACTGAACATCATTTGAGATCCTACATGTCCACGACTCCACTGGGGAAGCAGTGCAGATTTAATTTTGAGGCAGGACTGAGAGAACACAAGGAGATAAGTAGGCATGAGCATTTCCCCTATACTTTGGGTTGTAGGGGTCCTTCATTCTGCTTCTACAGAATGAAAACTTAGCTAGGGTATTTTTTTTTCTTCTTTCTGTTTTCACCTTTTACAAAGTTCCCAGCTTAGCTCACCTTCAGGCCAAGCTCAGAAGGAGAAAGGAAAAATTCAGGCGAGTCTTTGCAGCACAGTTCACCTCAGCTACAGATTCGAGTTCCTTCCTTAATCCACTTGCTATCGCTTGCTTTCTGGAGTCCTCAGCTAGGTCTTTGCCATGATTGTCCAGCTTCAGTGTGATCAGGGGAGAGGCAGAATGGGCTCCTCTCAGTAATGTTTTTACCCTTCACACCTGCCCCGGACCTGAATGCAGATCAACAGCATTGGTTTTTAGGTAAATTCCACTTGTTAATAACTTCAAGACTGAGTTATTAACACAAAAACCCCAGCTTCCCCCCCCCCCTTACCTGCACTACTCTTCAAATTTCCATCTTCCCATGCACTTTTCTCTACGATTCCAGTTGATTGACATATGTTTTTCTTTGCCAGGGGGGCTTATTGAGAAAAAAATATTCTTTGCTTCATTACAACATTTTAATATTTGCATAAAAATTATAATTTTAATATGTTTCACAGAGCTTTCCCTTGTTTATACCAAAATGAATTTATTTTTGTGCCTTTGGGAAATGATACATTTGTTTAACAGATTGGTAATTATTTATTAAAAATTGATCATTAAGATTTCTCTATTTGATTACTATGAACATATCACCAAAACCACAATCTATTTTCTATCAATTGTATCCATTAATTCAATCTTGCTGGTCTTTAAATAAAAGATCACTATAACTTCTCATTTTGAACCTTTTTAAGAACAAAGTTGATAGAAAGAAAAAATCTTAGATAAATCTAATTTAAAATCTCAATCTGTTTACAAAAGTTTTCTTTTTGACTTTGCTTATTGTTTTTATTATAAAAATTATCTTAGCAAGAGTAACTAGCAGTGTTTATACATGCAAATTCCTTTCAGGTCTTTTGTACATTTGGTTTGAAGCACCTTTAGGTGACCCAATGGGTGCTCACTCCTTTAGAACTTTAGGTGTTCCACTTCTAAAGCGGAACATCCGGTCAGGAAACTGAGCTCCCTAAGTCTACTAAGCATGTGGGTGGTGCACAGCCCGAGCAGGAGTTGGGTGAAGACTGACTTCACTGAGTCCAAAGTCACCTGGTGAGGTTTCCACTTAAAGAGAAGCCAGGGCCCACAGCCCGGGTCCCACCTGGCAGAGCTGTGGCTGCAATTACAAAAATGAAGAGGCAAGAAACTCAACCCGCCGCAATCTGTTGCATTTACAGTCTAAGTGTGTTTTCTTTTCTCCCTTCTCCTGGGGTCTTCAGTTTACCGTGGTTTCTGGGCTGTCCTCATGCTCCTGGGCGTAGTCGCTGTCGTGACTGCAAGTTTCCTCATCATCTGTGCAGCCCCCTTTGCCAGCCATGTTCTCTACAAGGTCGGCGGGAGCTCCTTTATCGCTGCAGGTATGTAAGTGCTACGGCATGCTTTCCAGCCCTGGGTCTGTATTATATATTTGCCATTTATAGTCTCAGGTAGCAGGCCTCCAGCAGTAGGAATACAATTATATTCATGTGTAATCTTTCTAAGTGCCACCTGTGCCTCAGACACTTTTCTAGGGACTTGGCATTTTCCGTGTGCTAACACACCCGATCAGCACGACAGTCTTGGCTCATTGTGTCCACATTATATGAGAGAGGACATTCGCGGGAAATCTGTGCTCTGAGAGCCTTTGAGCCTGTTTACCCTATCAGTTTCCTGTCTCTGTAACCTCAGGACACAGACGAAGGCCTCTGTGTGCTCTGACAAGGACAGCCGCATGCTAATGCTCTCGTGCCTGGTTGCCTGTAGGAGAAAAGCATCGCCTACAATGTCCGCATTCGGTTTTCTCAGTGTGTGCATTATCTAAACAGTCCTCCTCATTGTAAAACCTACAGGTATTTCAGTCAGCTTTCCAACTAGTCTTTCTAATTCCAACCGAAATGATCATAGTACAAACAAAAAAATAACTGAATAGGCAAGTCTTGTGAATTTTAAGCCTTTTCATTTAATTAGGAAGTAAAAGCCAGAACACTAACTTGAAAAACATGAGCTCAAGGTTGTTTATAAAGATGGCAGTTCTGGAAAATTAACCAATGCCAGTGTGACTTAGGCTGAGCTTTATGTGACTACACTGTACTGTCACATTAGACCAGAGGACAGTGTTTCTACAAGAGAAGGAAGTAGCAGCGAAGGGAAGGAATGGGATGGAGAGCTTTGTCATCTATTTATCATCATGGCTAAGGCAGTGCAGGAACCGGCCATGACTTAATCAACAGACAGTTATCAAATAGTTTCCTTAAGCACGCATTTTATATAGCACTGTGCTTAATTCTGCAGAGCAGGTACACTGAACGGTCAGATCCTCTGCTCCCGGAACTCAGAAACAAACTCTGAGATCAAGAGCCTGTTTAACTCCTTCATGTCAACAGCGTTCTCCACGGGTCTTCAAGGGCCCAGATTTACCCATTTACACTAAGATGTAATTGATACAGTTCACACATTATAAAATTTACCATTTTAAAGTGTTTCCATACATTTACCGAGTAGTTCACATATCATCAGAATCTGGTTCTGGGATATTTTTATTAGCCCACAAAGAAGCCTCATCCTCTCTTCTACTCCCCCAACCCCCAGGGACCGCTACTCGACTTTCTGTCTCTATCCGTTTGCCTTTTCTGGACATTTCCTATAGGTGGAGTCACAATATGTGGTCTGGCACGCCGTTTCCCCGCTTTAATTCACAAGTCCTTAAGACCAGCGCCTATGACTTGGCATCTTCTTTACCACATGTTTTTTCTCTCCAAACACACTCCTCCCTCAGTTCAGTCAAAGGTCTAGTTAAGGTAGACCTGGTCTTCCTAGAAACAGCAGCTCCCTGCTAAGATATGTAAACATTTGTTTCTTCTCATGTCTTGATTTTCTTTTTGAATCTTTGTCAATAAAGGTAATGTGTAATAGAAGTAGTTTAGTACTAACACATGGCTGGCACAATTTATTTACTTATTTTTAAAAATATATATTTTTTATTAATTTCATAGAGGAAGGAGTGGGAGAGAGAGAGATGGAAACATCAATGATAAAAGAGAGAATCATTGATCAGCTGCCTCCTGCACACCCCCTACTGGGGATTGAACCCACAACCTGGGCATGTATCCTTGACAGGAATTAAACTCAGGACCCTTCAGTCTGCAGGCTGATGCTTTATCCACTAAGCCAAACCAACTAAGGCAGCACAATTGATTTAAACACAGAAATGGTCTGGTCTTGAGTCTGGTCTTAGGGAATTGTGTGTGTGTGTGTGTTTATGTTTAATGCTTTTGGGAAAAATTTAGCCATTTGATAAATGTGTGAAAAATTAGTATATCCAACTAGACTTTTCAGGGTGATCACTTTGTAAGATATCTAACTGTGGAATTACTATGTTGTACACCTGAAACTAATATAATATTGTGTACCAGCTAGATGTTAATACAACTTTAAAAAAAACTACAATTTTCCAAGAACCCTGCAGAGGCATTTAATATGTATTTTCATTTTTAGTGAATCTTCCATTGCATGAGGGTATGGGGCTGAGATCCTCCCTGCTCAGGTCTTCATGCAAAGACTCTGGAGTCTAGAGGTGTTCTGGGAGTCCATTCTGCAAGCTACTGAACTATAATTATGAGGGCACTTCCTTTAAGAACTTAATTTCCTTCCTGGCCCAATTCCTTGTTTATGCAGCACTGCTGGTTTCCCAAGAACAGAGGGAGGCACTCTGTTGGATGAGGTACAATATTACTGTTCATTTTAGCAGTTCAGACAGGAAAATGGTATACTCAGGAGTAACTAAAGTTAACTTTCTAGTTGCAATTTCCATCATGAAACACAAACGTTTAAAGCAGCTGTGGGCCAGTAAATCATCCTTAAACTTGTGTCATTATTGATAGAAGAATTTTTAAAATATTCCAATTCTGTTATTACCATTCCCAGATAATATGAAAGTCAACTTATTTTTTTCAAAGTTGAAGATGGAAATTTATATGCTATGTTATATAAAGATGAAGAATATGAAATATGAAATAATCACTAGGATTGTTGCTTAGCCAAATTTTTTTCTGTGCTACATTATATATAAGGCAGATAGCCATTTACTGAGTTACATTGAATTTATAATCCTTTCCTTGGTCATATTTTATATTTTGAAAATGAAGAGGTTTCATTCCATGCACCTCACATTCCAGAATCTCTTTAGTTTCAGGCCTTGCTTTGTCATTCCCGGCCTCGGCGAGTCCCTGGGCTGCTGGTGTCACCGCTGTCCTCGGACAGGCGGGAGGAACAGGTGCAGCCTGGAACGGGCTTCTGTGGCTGCCTCGTCAGTGCCGCAAACAGGATAGGACACGCTCTTTATTTGGACAGATGGCCTCGGGACAGGGCAGAACCAGCTTGCAGATGGGCTGCTGGGCGTGTGCACACAGGACGGCTCTCTGGCAGCAGCAAGAAGGTTGTGGGGGGCATTGCACTGTGGCTGGACATGCTGTTGCGGCAGCTGGTGTGAGGGGTGGGCCATGGGCTTTCTCTCGCTCTGCAAACAGGCTCAGAGCAAGGCCTCGGGGGCGTGGGCTGCCACTCCCGGTGCTGGGCAGAGGCCCCTCGGGCAGGCAGGCAGCCTGTGTCCAGGGAGTTCCGTCTGACTGTGTGCATGGGGTTGTCAGGGCATTCTCTAAGCCAAGCCTCTATTTCCGTCACTCTCACCCTTCTCATCCTCCCCTCCCACCACAATGCTTAAACAATTGATGATTTTTTTTTCATTTTAAAGTTTTTTAAAATTCCCTGATACATTGTGTGTTCAACACCCCAAGTCAAGTCTCCTTCCATCTGGATTGTCCCCTTTACCCTGACTTGGGCTTACATGTGGTCTTCCGGAGAACTCCTACATACAGAGGGGTCTTGTCTTCTCCTGACCCTGCGATCCTGAAGGCGATAGGAAAGATGCAGAAAGTGGAGAATGGCAGATCCCCAGCTGCACCACGGGCCGGGCCACACCCTGCATTACAGAAGTTACTTTGAGGAGACATGACCACAGAGCTATGTATTTGTAATGCCCGTGCAGAAACATCTGTGCAGGAACTGGCTCATCAGTAAGACTTCTGAGTGAACCAGCCGGGATGACCACACGGTCTGGAAGCGTGGGGCACTGGCATGGATGTAAGCCAGGACATGTTATTGACCGGCGTCATATATCAGGGTGCACCTGCAATCCACCCAGAAATCACCTCTTCCCGAATACTCGCTGGGGTCAGTTCTGCTGAAGGAGGAGCCGCCTCCTCATCCCTGTTGGGCCTTCAGGCTGGCCCAGCTGCGCAGGCATCTTGTGAGTCGGGGGTACAGCAGCCCTATTCCAGGCCCAGGATGCTCTGGGGGAGGAACGGCCTCCGTGGGCCTCATCGGACCCCTGAAGGCAGTGGAGCGAAGGCGGGCCTGGCCGCTGCCCGCCTGCTCTTCCTCCCAGACAGCTGCTCCAGGTCGCCGGTCATGGCAGTGGGAGCGAGGGGGGACGAGGCGGGAGGCGCAGGGCTCTGCCTGGGACAGGAACGCAACCCTCCCCTGGGGCCCTCTGCCCAGCGAGGACATGCTCCCTGAAGGAGGGTGAACCTTGGAAAGGGGTGGCTCTGAAGGGAATGGCATGCTCCTATCTGCAGGTGGGACTGCCCCGGAAGAAATGCAATTGGCGGTTTGTTCTCCTTTCTCTTTCAAAGACCCGGGCCTGGTAGCAGCTCCCCAATAGAGCACAGGCCCTTGCATGGGGCAAGATAGCGGTGATGGGTGCATACCTGCCCCCGACCCGGAGAAGGGCCCTCAGAAGCCCAGGGCCCTGCATCCTGGTTCCCTCTCCTGTAGCCGAGACAGCGCTCTCCGTCCTCCTCCAGGTCCAGCGCCTGCTCTGGGGACGCCTGGCCCAGGGGACGCCTGGGCAGGAAGGGCGAGGACAGACCTCCGTCCTGAGGGCATCTCCGCGCACATGGCACCTGCCCTCTGCCTTCTCTCTCAGTGAGATGACCACACCAGCTCCCTGCGCAGCCCAGGGCAGGAGTGAGGACCACAGGCCCGAGGCCAGGGTCCTGGCAGGATGTGAGCGGGAAGGAGTTTTCCTGAGAAATCCGGAGCATGGCTTCCCTCCAGCACAGAATACCCGCCAGCGCCTGGTGGGCTGGTCCTGCAGCCCTGGCTCCCGGATGGCAGGGGGGCAGAGGCGATGAATCTGCCCCATGGCGCCTATGGGTCAGCAGATGCGCTGCTCCTGGGGACTCTCCCACGGCGGGGCCTGTTGGGGGGAAGGGCAGGGGTCGTGCTACTGGGTCACAGCCCAGGCACCTGCCCCCCATGGTCCGCTGCTCCCCACAGGTCCCGCACCCAGCACCCAGTGCCCGGAGCTGGCCTCTCGGGA